CCCTTATCTATCGGACATTTGATAGTGAAAGGTCGTTGAGGTGAGATACAGTCATGCAAACATTCAGTACAGGTTCATTTCAGAAATGAATTCGCTGCCAACAACTCTTACGACATTAACTGCGACTACGAGCTACTTCGATGACGTAATTTTTCCACTTTTATTTCTTAGGAAGGGTCCAAACATAAGTGCTTTCTGCCCGTCGCCGCAACTGCGACCAACGATCTAATGGACTTAAAGGCACATTTCGCGAGTACCCGCGAGAACTTTTTATCCACGCGCAGGGAAAGTCAGTGTGGACCGCAGCGGACTATCTTGTGCCAGTTTCGCCTTATAAGGTTGTGAGATAAAAAACGTCGCTGCAAGGTTTCCTTGCGAGCAATTGGCTCCACCAACCAGTCACTCCGCTGCTTCTTCGTGATCTCGCTCCCCTTGTCCGGTGGCCCAAATCCCGCGTACCTTCGCTTGTTGGCTGGAAGGAGAGGGCCTCACTCAAAACATTCCCAGGTTTCCTTTTTTTGTCTAATCCAAGTAAGACAATTAACACATGCAGCCAACATCGTTACCTACGAAATGTTCCTTTTGGAAGCACCTCGTAAGTGACTCGAGCTTTGGTCAGACGGCTCGAGTCCCCGTTAGTGATTATTGGAGCTGTGTCCTGTGATCACTCAAGAAAAGCATACGATTCTCTATAAAAAAATAGAATAGATGTGGGCACCTATGTATTCAACTGACTGCGTTTCTTTCAGCGGTCCATAACATGGGCTTTAGTTCTTGGAGTGATTCTTGCATTTGTATTGGGTGCTGGAATGGGAGCCAATGATGTCGCCAATGCGTTCGGTACTTCAGTTGGAAGCGGAACTTTGACACTGATTCAAGCGTACACGTTAGCGAGTATATTCGAAACTCTTGGAGCAGTGCTAGTCGGTGAGTCTGGCTAATATGGTATCAGTACAATACAAAAAGTCTTGCAACAAGTCAAATATGCTCGAGAAGAAGCGAAAACGAAAAAAAAAATAAAACGAAAAACCAATGGAACGACTTCTCAGTCTTTGATACTGCACAGTATTCTAGAGTCTTGGTAGACAAATTCAGAACTTTTCGCATTTCAAAGCCAGGCTTTTCGCAATTCAAAGACATGCCTCGCGCCCAGCCAATTGATGGACATCCTTCCCTGTCTCAGTAGTGCAATCCGTAGATCAGAGACTGTCGAGACTGTCCTGTTTCGCGACCCTACAGTGAATGACGAGGCCGTTGCAGCCGCCGTAAGTTCGAGTTCTCACACCAGCACTGAGAATTCACCTACAAATGTCCCTACGCAAGAGCGCTCAGCTGCTGTTTGGTGTAGCGGCAGGAATAAATCCGAATTAAAAAATCTGCTCTTCTTTATTACTTTTTTCATTAGAACAAATGAGACGCTTTCAATTCGCCAATGATGTAAGCGCATTACTTCGTCAAAATAAAACCCAATTTTGCATAAGACGCATTCAAAGGATGTTGCCTAGCACAAATTTCGTTTTACATAGCGTTTTCGTTGTTTTTTCACTGTTGGATGTCAGTTGGCGCTGAATCACGCGAAGAAACAGTAAGTGAGCCAAAGGAGGCACGATA